TGGAGGAAGAATGGAGAGGCCCAAGGACCCCGAGTATGGAGGAAGAATGGAGAGGCCCAAGGACCCCAAGTATGGAGGAAGAATGGGGAGGCACAAGGACCCCGAGTATGGAGGAAGAATGGAGAGCCCCAAGGACCCCGAGTATGGAGGAGGAATGGAGAGGCCCAAGGACCCGAGTATGGAGGAAGAATGGAGAGGCCCAAGGACCCCGAGTATGGAGGAAGAATGGAGAGGCCCAAGGACCCCGAGTATGGAGGAAGAATGGAGAGGCCCAAGGACCCCAAGTATGGAGGAAGAATGGAGAGGCCCAAGGACCCAGAGTATGGAGGAAGAATGGAGAGGCCCAAGGACCCCGAGTATGGAGGAAGAATGGAGAGGCCCAAGGACCCCGAGTATGGAGGAAGAATGGAGAGGCCCAAGAACCCCGAGTATGAAGGAAGAATGGAGAGGCCCAAGGACCCGGTGTATGGAGGAAGAATGGAGAGGCCCAAGGACCCCGAGTATGGAGGAAGACCCCGAGTATGGAGGAAGAATGGAGAGGCCCAAGGACCCCGAGTATGGAGGAAGAATGGAGAGGATAGCTTCCATGCCACGCCGCATTGAGGCAGTAATTGCTGCAAAAGGGGCCCCAACCAAGTACTGAGTACATATGCAGCTTCTACTTCTCAGAGGTGCGATATTGTTCTCTGTACAATCCGTGTTTTATTGATTGCATGGAATATTCTCATTTTCTGAGATTGTGGATTTGGGGTTTTCATGAGCTGTAAGCCATAATCATCACAATGATGACAAATCACGGCTGGAACTATCTTGCTTTGCATGGAATGAGTCTCATATATTAGTGTCACCTTTTAAGTTGCTGCACTGAAATCAATGAATGAATGAATGAATGAATGAATGAATGCACCAGATTCTCATTGTTCCAGTTACACCTGTACTTCTCATGCCACCATTGGTGTCATCCAGGCACAGACACTGCAGGAGCACTTTGGTTAGAAGCAGGGGCGGACTGACAACTCATGGGGCCCCCAGGCAATAGGGGATTATGGGGCCCCTGTGTCCTCACCCACACTCAAACCACATGCAAAAAAAAAACTATGAAAGGTACCAGGGGCACCTCATGGGGCCCCCTACTGACCCCTGGCCCTCGGGCAGTGCCTGAGTTTCTGAATGGTCGGTCCACCCCTGGTTAGAAGTCGACTGACTATGTTTAGTGGTTGTAAACTCAGCGAAGTGACTTTTCTCAGGTGACACGTAGAGATGAAACAAATCCTCCTACATAAGTTGTACCTCTTTATCTGCAGACTTTGGTGTTCTACAGCACGGGTGTCAAACTGGCGGCCCTCCAGCTGTTGCCAAACTACAAGTCCCATGAGGCATTGCAAGATTGACAGTTACAAGCAAGACTCCCAAAGGTAGAGGCATGATGGGACTTGTAGTTTCACAACACCTGGAGGGTGTGGAATGTATACAGCTTGTCTGAGCTTTTGGTAAGCAGAGGGTGGGGATTTGAATTTCCACATTGCAGAGCTGAGTGAGGAGAGCTCTGGGAGCTGATAGGAGGGAAGGGACACCACCCCCTGGAGACACTGCTCACAGGAACAGAGCTGGGGCTGTCCATCCGACCCGGACTGGGACAAAAAAAATAGGCCTGGGCATTTTGGACTGAGCAGCCCCAAGCCCGGGGACACTTTTTTTGGAGCCTGGTGGCAGAATGCCAGGGCCCGGTTGCAAGAGCGACCTTTGTGACCCTGGTAGTTCTGACATTAGTGTCACTAGGATTTTATTTTTAATTAATGTTTTACAATTTTACATTTTATTTTTTTTTTTTACATTTTTTTTTGTAGGAAAGAAAGAAGGAAGGAGGGGAAAGAAGGAAGGAGGGAGGGGAAAGAAGGAAGGAGGGAGGGGAAAGAAGGAAGGAGGGAGGGGAAAGAAGGAAGGAGGGAGGGGAAAGAAGGAAGGAAGGAGGGGAAAGGAAGGAAGGAGGGAGGGGAAAGAAGGAAGGAAGGAGGGGAAAGAAGGAAGGAAGGAGGGGAAAGAAGGAAGGAGGGAGGGGAAAGAAGGAAGGAGGGGAAAGAAGGAAGGAAGGAGGGGAAAGAAGGAAGGAGGGAGGGGAAAGAAGAAGGAAGGAAGGAGGGGAAAGGAAGGAAGGAGGGGAAAGAAGGAAGGAGGGAGGGGAAAGAAGGAAGGAGGGGAAGGAAGGAAGGAGGGGAAAGAAGGAAGGAAGGAGGGGAAAGAAGGAAGGAGGGAAGGAAGGAAGGAGGGGAAAGAAGGAAGGAAGGAGGGGAAAGAAGGAAGGGAGGGAGGGGAAAGAAGGAAGGAGGGGAAAGAAGGAAGGAGGGGAAAGAAGGAAGGAAGGAGGGGAAAGAAGGAAGGAAGGAGGGGAAAGAAGGAAGGAAGGAAGGAAGGAAGGAAGGAGGGGAAAGAAGGAAGGAAGGAAGGAAGGAGGGGAAAGAAGGAAGGAAGGAAGGAGGGGAAAGAAGGAAGGAAGGAAGGAAGGAGGGGAAAGAAGGAAGGAAGGAAGGAGGGGAAGGAAGGAGGGGAAAGAAGGAAGGAAGGAGGGGAAAGAAGGAAGGAGGGAGGGGAAAGAAGGAAGGAGGGAGGGGAAAGAAGGAAAGGAGGGGAAAGAATTAAGAAAGGAAGGAGGGGAAAGAAGGAAGGAGGGGAAAGAAGGAAGAAAGGAAGGAGGGGAAAGAAGGAAGGAGGGAGGGGGAAAGAAGGAAGGAGGGGAAAGAAGGAAGAAAGGAAGGAGGGGAAAGAAGGAAGGAGGGAGGGGAAAGAAGGAAGGAAGGAGGGGAAAGAAGGAAGGAAAGAGGAGAAAGAAGGAAGGAATGAAAGAAGGGAGGAGGGGAAAGAAGGAAGGAAGGAAGGAGTGGGAGCAGCCCCAAGCCCAGGGACCCTTTTTTTTTGGAGCCCAGTGGCAGAACGCCAGGGCCTGGTTGCAAGAGCGACCTTTGTGACCCTGGTAGTTCTGCCATTAGTGTCAGTAGGTTATTTGTATTACATTTTTTACAATTTTACATTTTATTATTTTTTTACATTTTTTTTTTTGTAGGAGAGAAAGAAAAGAAAAAAGAAGGAAGGAGGGGAAGGAAGGGAGGGGAAGGAAGGGAGGAAGGAGGTGAAGGAAGGGAGGAGGGGGGAAGGAATGAAGGAAGGAAGGAAGGAGGGGAAGGAAAGATAATACATAATACAGGAGACGGTCAGAGACTGCAGAAGTTGTACAGGAGACGGTCAGAGACTAGGAGTACGAGTATTGCAGGGTACGTGCGTCCACACACAGAGCTCGGAGTGGATATATACCGGGGTCATGTGATATCTTCTCTCCTATCGCTATGTATTTTGCAGGAAAATCTTAACCTACCCGCTCCTTAGCGCCCCCTATAGGAGGAAGAGACAGAAAAGCTGTACGATTGGATGTTGACAGCAGATGGCTGCCTGTGACCGCACTGTAGACACGGGCCATGTGGGTGCAATCAGCCGGGACGCTCCAGCAATCGCAGTCCCTCAGTCCATGTCTTCCCCATTCTTGTCCATTTGCTTTTCTCTCTCTGCGATCGGGGCCGGGAAGTGAATGTTTGCGTCTGATGGCCGAATGCTTTCCTGCGATTTAAAATGCAAAGTACTGAGTTTGGCCAGCAGATGGCACCAATTCCTATGACACTGACTGGCGCGACGCCACCAAATTTAAAATACTCGACCAGCACGGGAGACAACCGAACGACATTCGTTTTTTTTGTCCCATTTATACACAACGAATGTACATGCAAGTTCACTGGGCAAATTGCTATGCAAATGTTTTTTTACTTGACCCCCCAGCCCCCCCCCCCCCTTCCCCGGTGTGCTTGTAAAAATGTTGGTTCAACCGAGAAGAAATCGTTCAGATTTTTTTTTCAAAACCGGGTTTGTTTTTGTCATTTCAGAGCGTCGACTCGGCTTTGCTGAGCGGTGGCCCCCCGAAAACGACTAAACTATTCCGTTCCTTAACTGGTGAGTCCAGAGATCTGCAGAGGGCTGTGAGAATTAGATGGTGTGTCACCTGGACCTGGACCTCGGAGGGTGCTGGGGTGGGCTTTGCCCCACCCCAGATTTTAGTTGTACCACACCCCACCCCAGGTCTCTTGGGAGTGCATCCACTGATCCATGAGACACTCTGATGGGGACAATTGATGGTAGCGGGACTCCTGCTGAGATCATAGAGGTGGATGACAGGCGGCTGAGTTGTCCTTCAGTCACTCCTTAGGTATCTACACCATATTGCCCCAAGTATTGGGCCACCGGCCTTTCCACCCACATGAGCTTTAATGGCCCCCCAGTCTTGGTCCGTAGGGCTCAATATTGGGTTGGCCCCGCCCTTTCCACACACGTGACCAGTCAAGTTCCTCCACCCCAAACTGGCTCCTCCATGTCTTTATGGACCTTGCTTTGTGCACTGGTGCGAAGTCATGTTGGAACAGGAAGGGGCCATCCCAAAACTCCTCCCACAAAGTTGGGGGCATGAAATTGTCCAAAAATGTCGCCTTAAGAGTTCCCTTCACTGGAACTAGGGGGCCAAGCCCAACTCCTGAGGGACACCCCCACACCATAATCCCCCCTCCACCAAACTTTACACTTGGCACAATGCAGTCAGGCAAGTACCGTTCTCCTGGCAGCCACCAAACCCAGACACGTCCATTTGATTGCCAGAAAGAGAAGTGTGATTGGTCACTCCAGAGAACACGCCTCCCCTGCTCTAGAGTCCAGTGGCGGCGTGCTTTACACCACGGCATCCCACGCTTTGCATTGCACTTGGTGATGGAAGGCTTGGATGCAGCTGCTCGGCCATGGAAACCCATTCCATGAAGCTCTCTACGCACTGTTGTTGGGCTCATCTGAAGGCCACACCAAGTTTGGAGGTCTTTAGCTATTGACTCTGTAGACAGTTGGCGACTTCTGCGCACTGTGCGCTTCAGCATGCGCTGACCCCGCCCTGTCATGTGACGTGGCCTACCACTTGGTGGCTGAGTGGCTGTTGTTCCCAGTGGCTTCCACTTTGTTACAATCCCACTAACAGTTGAGCGTGGAATATTTAGTAGCCAGGAAATGTCACGGATGGACTTATTGCACAGGTGGCCACCTATCACGGGACCACGCTTGGAGTCACTGAGCTCCTGAGAGCGACCCATTCTTTCACCAATGTTTGTAGAAGCCGTCTGCATGCCTAGGGGCTTGATTGTATACACCTGTGTGCATGGAGGGGATTGGAGCACCTGAATCACATGATATGGAGGGGATTGGAACACCTGAATCACATGATATGGAGCGGATTGGAACACCTGAATCACATGATTGGGAGGGGATTGGAACACCTGAATCACATGATATGGAGGGGATTGGAACACCTGAATCACATGATATGGAGGGGATTGGAACACCTGAATCACATGATATGGAGGGGATTGGAACACCTGAATCACATGATTTCTAGGGCGGGGGGGGACAATACTTTTGGCAATATAGTGTGTTTTGGTCTCATACCATTGATGAATCTACATCTCCGTACCTCTAGCTGTCAGTCCTGTAGAGATGACATTTCATTCGCTCCCTCGGAGTACAATGTATTGTCTCTGATGACCTCCCCGGTATCAGACATAGTCTCTGATGATGTCCCCGGTATCAGACATAGTCTCTGATGATGTCCCCGGTATCAGACATAGTCTCTGATGATGTCCCCGGTATCAGACATAGTCTCTGACATCACCAGTATCAGACATAGTCTCTGATGACGTCCCCGGTATCAGACATAGTCTCTGATGATGTCCCCGGTATCAGACATAGTCTCTGACATGACATCACCAGTATCAGACATTGTCTCTGATGACATCACCAGTATCAGACATTGTCTCTGATGACGTCTCTGGTATCAGACATTGTCTCTGATGATGTCCCAGGTATCAGACATTGTCTCTGACATCACCAGTATCAGACATTGTCTCTGATGACATCACCAGTATCAGACATAGTCTCTGATGACGTCCCCGGTATCAGACATAGTCTCTGATGACGTCCCCGGTATCAGACATAGTCTCTGATGACATCATTGGTATCGGACATTGTCTCTGATGACATCCCCAATATCGGACATTGTCTCTGATGACATCATCGGTATCGGACATTGTCTCTGATGACGTCCCTGGTATCGGACATTGTCTCTGATGACATCATTGGTATCGGACATTGTCTCTGATGACATCCCCAATATCGGACATTGTCTCTGATGACATCCCCGGTATCGGACATTGTCTCTGATGACATCATCGGTATCGGACATTGTCTCTGATGACATCATCGGTATCGGACATTGTCTCTGATGACATCATCGGTATGGGACATTGTCTCTGATGACATCACCGGTATTGGACATTGTCTCTGATGACGTCCCCGGTATCGGACATTGTCTCTGATGACACTGCCCGGTATCGGACATTGTCTCTGATGACATCATCGGGTATCGGACATTGTCTCTGATGACATCATCGGTATCGGACATTGTCTCTGATGACATCATCGGTATCGGACATTGTCTCTGATGACATCCCCGGTATCGGATATTGTCTCTCATGACATCACCGGTGTCGGACATTGTCTCTGATGACATCCCCGGTATCGGACATTGTCTCTGATGACATCCCCGGTATCGGATATTGTCTCTCATGACATCACCGGTGTCGGACATTGTCTCTGATGACATCCCCAGTATCGGACATTGTCTCTGATAAACGTCCCCGGTATCGGACATTGTCTCTGATGACATCACCGGTGTCGGATATTGTCTCTCATGACATCACCGGTGTCGGACATTGTCTCTGATGACATCCCCAGTATCGGACATTGTCTCTGATAAACGTCCCCGGTATCGGACATTGTCTCTGATGACATCCCCGGTATCGGACATTGTCTCTGATGATGTCCCCGGTATCGGACATTGTCTCTGATGACATCATCGGTATCGGACATTGTCTCTGATGACATCATCGGTATCGGACATTGTCTCTGATGACATCACCGATGTCGGACATTGTCTCTGATGACGTCCCTGGTATCAGACGTTGTCTCTGATGACATCACCGATATCTGACATTGTGCCTTCTGATTGGCAGTGGGCGCTCCGGACACTCCGGTGAAATACTCCAGAAGGAACCTAGACGATGGCGGTGTGACTCTGCCGCGTGAGACGTCGGAGGAGATGATCGAGGAGGAGGAGGAGGATTGAAGCTCCTCACAGATCAGCCACAGAAATCCGCAATATCCTGAAGCTTAACCGCCGAGTCCCAGAATTGTAGAGAGCCGAGCAAATGCCAAACTCCGAACGGAGGATAATCACAGCACAAGGTGTGCCACATGGAGGAATATCCCCCACAGGGGCCCCGGGCACCATACAGGACCCTCCACCCATCCCCCAACCTAAAGAGAGAGCAATCACAGCCTGTACAATAAAGAGGACCTGTCCCATACACACCCAGCCTGTACAATAAAGAGGACCTGTCCCATACACACCCAGCCTGTACAATAAAGAGAACCTGTCCCATACACACCCATCCTGTACAATAAAGAGGACCTGTCCTATACACACCCATCCTGTACAATAAAGAGGACCTGTCCTATACACCCAGCCTGACAATAAAGAGGACCTGTCCCATACACACCCATCCTGTACAATAAAGAGGACCTGTCCTATACACCCAGCCTGACAATAAAGAGGACCTGTCCCATACACACCCATCCTGTACAATAAAGAGGACCTGTCCCATACACACCCAGCCTGTACAATAAAGAGAACCTGTCCTATACACACCCATCCTGTACAATAAAGAGGACCTGTCCCATACACACCCAGCCTGTACAATAAAGAGAACCTGTCCTATACACACCCATCCTGTACAATAAAGAGGACCTGTCCTATACACACCCATCCTGTACAATAAAGAGGACCTGTCCCATACACACCCATCCTGTACAATAAAGAGGACCTGTCCCATACACACCCATCCTGTACAATAAAGAGGACCTGTCCCATACACACACGCTTCCTGTACAATAAAGAGGACCTGTCCTATACACACCCATCCTGTACAATAAAGAGGACCTGTCCCATACACACCCATCCTGTACAATAAAGAGGACCTGTCCCATACACACCCATCCTGTACAATAAAGAGGACCTGTCCCATATACATCCATCCTGTACAATAAAGAGGACCTGTCCTATACACATCCAGCCTGACAATAAAGAGGACCTGTCCTATACACACCCAGCCTGTACAATAAAGAGGACCTGTCCCATATACATCCATCCTGTACAATAAAGAGGACCTGTCCAGTACATCCAGCCTGTACAATAAAGAGGACCTGTCCTATAAACATCCAGCCTGTACAATAAAGAGGACCTGTCCTATACACACCCAGCCTGTACAATAAAGAGGACCTGTCCCATACACACCCATCCTGTACAATAAAGAGGACCTGTCCCATACACACCCAGCCTGTACAATAAAGAGGACCTGTCCCATACACACCCATCCTGTACAATAAAGAGGACCTGTCCCATACACACCCATCCTGTACAATAAAGAGGACCTGTCCTATACACACCCATCCTGTACAATAAAGAGGACCTGTCCCATCCACACCTAGCCTGTACAATAAAGAGGACCTGTCCCATCCACACCCATCCTGTACAATAAAGAGGACCTGTCCTATACACACCCAGCCTGTACAATAAAGAGGACCTGTCCCATATACATCCAGCCTGTACAATAAAGAGGACCTGTCCCATACACACCCATCCTGTACAATAAAGAGGACCTGTCCCATATACATCCAGCCTGTACAATAAAGAGGACCTGTCCCATACACACCCATCCTGTACAATAAAGAGGACCTGTCCCATACACACCCAGCCTGTACAATAAAGAGGACCTGTCCTATACACACCCAGTCTGACAATAAATAGGATCTGTCCTATACACATCCATCCTGTACAATAAAGAGGACCTGTCCCATACACACCCATCCTGTACAACAAAGAGGACCTGTCCCATACACACCCATCCTGTACAATAAAGAGGACCTGTCCCATACACACCCATCCTGTACAACAAAGAGGACCTGTCCCATACACACCCAGACCCTGCCTGTACAATAAAGAGGACCTGTCCTATTCACATCCAGTCTGACAATAAAGAGGACCTGTCCCATACACACCCAGCCTATACAATAAAGAGGACCTGTCCTATACACACCCATCTTGTCCAACAAAGAGGACCTGTCCTATATACACCCAGCCTGTCCAATTAAGAGGACCTGTCCCATACACACCCAGCCTGTACAATAAAGAGGACCTGTCCCATACACACCCATCCTGTACAACAAAGAGGACCTGTCCCATACACACCCATCCTGTACAATAAAGAGGACCTGTCCTATACACACCCATCCTGTGCAACAAAGAGGACCTGTCCTATACAAATCCATCCTGTACAATAAAGAGGACTTGTCCCATACACACCCATCCTGTACAACAAAGAGGACCTGTCCCATACACACCCATCCTGTACAACAAAGAGGACCTGTCCCATACACACCCATCCTGTACAATAAAGAGAACCTGTTCCATACATACTCAGCTTGTACTATAAAGAGGACCTGTCCTATACACACCCAGCCTGTTCAATAAAGAGGACCTGTCCTATACACACCCAGCCTGTACTGCAGCTAGCTGGTCACCCCTTTCAAAAACATTGGCAGTAATCAGCATTCACACTGCCATCCCGAACAATCCCCATATTGTGTATAATATGTGTATTTTCTATGGTCGCCAGATCCATCTAGTGGTCATAATGTGTTATTTTCCTGAAATACCTCAATCAGGATAATAAGACATTATGAGAAGTACTTGCAATGCCTGTGTGAATGTGGAACCAGAGATAGCATGGACTGACCATTCTTTCACAACATTTTTCCAACGTGGCACAGCAGACAGGAGGCTGGAATGCCTTTTGAGGGGCAGAAGAGTAGAGATTGTGTGCAGCGTACCTGAACTGGGAGCAAGGAGATTTCAGTTTACTGACCTCTAACCCCATCAGAAATCAGAGTCACACTGTGAATGGTTCACTCTGTAAAAGATACTTACCATTGATTTGATCTTTTGTTGCTGAAGTTTAATCTGCCTATATTTCACCTTTCCTTCGTTCCCCTCCCCCCTCATTAACATGCTAATGACATTTTTAATTAAATCCTACTGTTTGCATTGCATATTATAGTCTCTCTGCTTTCTCTATGCAAAACAGGCAGATCATAGCAGGTGGGAGGGGCTGGTACATAGCCTCCTGATGACATCACAGCACCCTGTCTTGGTATTCTCTCAAGACCCCTCAGTCCTGATGCAAGAAGTGGGCTGGCTCCTGGGAGGAGTTATGTAAATTTCCCAATACCTTGTTAGGTGGTGCTCCCAGGTAGGCTTCATTTGCATATAGACCGCCTTAGGTTACGCCCACGTGTGATGCTGAACTTCCATCATTAAAAGAACTGAATTCCAACAAAAGAAAGGGGCGGGGCCAGGGACAGGCGGGCTGGGGATGGTGACAACAGTAAACCACAAGTGTGTAATCTGTGCTTAAAACTGCCACTTGTTGTCTTCATCAGAAACCCATGTGACAGGGTGACAACACGGGAGCACAGTTGGCAAACAGGTATAGAATGTTGTCACCCTTTAACAGGAAGTGCTTGAACGAGGAACCTCCATGGCAGGATCGGAAGGGGTTATTTTATTTAAAAAACTGGAGATTTTAACAATATACATCTAAAAGCGCCCAGACCTCAGGTGTGCCCCGTGCTATCCATAGCCGGCTGTGTACTGCATAGCCAGAGCTGGGACTAGGAAGGGGTACAAGCCATGGGCACCATCACACTGGAAAGGGGAACCCCCCACACCCACCCCCCCCCCACCCCCCCCCCCCCCCCCCCCCCCCCCCCCCCCCCCCCCCCCCCCCCCCCCCCCCCCCCCCCCCCCCCCCCCCCCCCCCCCCCCCCCCCCCCCCCCCCCCCCCCCCCCCCCCCCCCCCCCCCCCCCCCCCCCCCCCCCCCCCCCCCCCCCCCCCCCCCCCCCCCCCCCCCCCCCCCCCCCCCCCCCCCCCCCCCCCCCCCCCCCCCCCCCCCCCCCCCCCCCCCCCCCCCCCCCCCCCCCCCCCCCCCCCCCCCCCCCCCCCCCCCCCCCACCCCCCCCCCCCCCCCCCCCCCCCCCCCCCCCCCCCCCCCCCCCCCCCCCCCCCCCCCCCCCCCCCCCCCCCCCCCCCCCCCCCCCCCCCCCCCCCCCCCCCCATGTATTCCCCCCCCCCCCCCTGAAATGTCCCCCATGTTGTCATGTTACAATGTATTCCCCCCCCCCTCCCCCCCCTGAAATGTCCTCCATGTTGTCATGTTACAATGTATTCCCCCCTCCCCCCTGAAATGTCCCCCATGTTGTCATGTTACAATGTATTCCCCCCCCCTGAAATGTCCTCCATGTTGTCATGTTACAATGTATTCCCCCTCCCCCTGAAATGTCCCCCATGTTGTCATGTTACAATGTATTCCCCCCCCCCCCCCCCGAAATGTCCCCCATGTTGTCATGTTACAATGTATTCCCCCTCCCCCCTAAAATGTCCCCCATGTTGTCATGTTACAATGTATTCCTCCTCCCCCCTGAAATGTCCCCCATGTTGTCATGTTACAATGTATTCCCCCTCCCCCCCTGAAATGTCCCCCATGTTGTCATGTTACAATGTATTCCCCCCCCCCCTGAAATGTCCCCCATGTTGTCATGTTACAATGTATTCCCCCTCCCCCCTGAAATGTCCCCCATGTTGTCATGTTACAATGTATCCCCCCCCTGAAATGTCCCCATGTTGTCATGTTACAATGTATTCCCCCTCCCCCCTGAAATGCCCCACATGTTGTCATGTTACAATGTATTCCCCCCCCCTGAAATGTCCCCCATGTTGTCATCTTACAATGTATTCCCCCTCCCCCCTGAAATGTCCCCCATGTTGTCATGGTACAATGTATCCCCCCCATGTTGTCATGTTACAATGTATCCCCCCCCCCCCCGTGTTGTCATGTTACAATGTATCCCCCCCCCCCCGTGTTGTCATGTTACAATGTACTCCCCCCCCCCCCCATGTTGTCATGTTACAATGTATCTATCAGGATTGGATGTGATGGACCGACACAAAGTGACACATAATTGTGAAGTGGAAGGATAATGAGAAATGGTTTCCAACATTTGTGACCAATAAATCTGTGAAAAGTGTGGGGGACATTTGTATTCAGCCCCCCGGAGTCAATACTTTGTAGGACCCCCTTTGGCTGTAATTCCAGCTGCAAGTCTTTTTGGGGATGTCTCTTTGCACATCTAGAGAGGGACATTTCTGCCCGTTCTTCTTTGCAGAATCCCTCAAGCTGTCAGATTGGATGGAGAGCGTCTGGGAACAGCAATTTTCAGGTCTGGCCACAGATCCTCCATTGGATTTGGGTCTGGACTGTGACTGAGCCATTCTAACACATGAAGATGCTTTGATCGGAACCATTCCATTGTAGGTCTGGCTGGATGTTTCGGATCGTTGTCCTGCTGGAAGGGGAACCTCTGCCCCGGTCTCAAGTCTTCTGCAGACTCTAACAGGTTTTCTTCTAAGATTGCCCTGTATTTGGCTCCATCCATCTTCCCATCAACTCTGACCAGCTTCCCTGTCCCTGCTGAAGAAACACATCCTCACCACATGATGCTGCCACCACCATGTTTCACAGTGGGGATGGTGTGTTCAGGGTGATGGGCAGTGTTAGTTTTTCCCCCACACATAGCGTTTTGCTTTTAGGCCGTAAAGTCCCATTTTGGTCTCCTCTGACCAGAGCCCCTTCTTCCACATGTTTGCTGTGTCCCCCACATGGCTTCTCACAAACTGCAAACGGGACTTCTTATGGCTTTCCTCCAACAATGGCTCCCTTCTCGTCACTCTTCCATAAAGGCCGGATTTGTGGAGTGACGACTAATAGTTGTCCTGAGGACAGATTCCCCCCCCTGAGCTGTGATCTCTGCAGCTCCTCCGGAGTTCCCATGAGCCTCTTGGCTGCTTCTCTGATAAATACTCTCCTTGCCCAGCCGGTCAGTTTAGGTGGACGGCCATGTCTTGGTAGGTTGGCAGTTGTGCCGTACTCTTCCCATTTTTGGATGATGGATTGAACACAGTGCTCCATGAGATGGTCAAAGCTTGGGGAGATGTTTTTATAACCTAACCCTGCTTTACACTTCTCCACAACTTTATCCCCAACCTGTCTGGTGTGTTCCTTGGCCTTCATGATGATGTTTGTCCACTAATGTTCTCTCTAACAAACCTCTGAGGGCTTCACAGAACAGCTGGATGTATACTGAGATCACATGACACACAGGGGGACTCTATGTACTAATGAGGGGACTTCTGAAGGCAATTGGTTCCACTAGATAGTAGTTATCAGAGTAAATGGGGCCGAATACAAATGCCGCCACACTTTTCACAGATTTATTTGTAAAGAATTTTGAAAACCATTTCTCATTTTCCACTTCACAATTTTGGGCCACTTTGTGTCGGTCCATCACATCCAATCCCAATAAAGTACATTGACAGTTTTGCTTGTAACATGACAACATGGGGACATTTCAAGGGGTGTGAAGACTTTTTCAAGGCATTGTACATGTCAACCGTGGGCAGCCAGAGCAATGGGGAGAACAGGTGCAGGGTGGGTCACCAATTCTACATCATGAGTCATCAGCAGGGGAGGTATGTGCAGTTTTGCATCTGGGGGGGGAGGTCGCAGTCCCGTTTCCTAGCCTTGGGTGCCGGACCACCCTGTCCAGATACTGAGCATAGTTATATGTATTACCAGGGGCGGACTGACCATTGGGGAACTTGGGCACTGCCCGAGGGCCCAGGTTCAGTAGGGGGCCCCATGAGATGTCCCCTGGTACCTTTCATAGGCTTTTTTAGGTGTGATTTGAGTGTGGGCGAGGACACAGGGGCCACATGATCCCCTATTGCCCGGGGGGCCCCATGAGTTGTCAGTCCGCCCCTGTGTATTACTAACATTTATAGGGAGAGTTGCTCCAGGGAATATCCGATTGCCTCTCGGAGGATCAGGAAGGAATTTTTTTTCCCTGCAGGAGCTTTGTGCTGTTTTTTTTGCCTTCCTCTGGATCAACTGTGGGTGTCAGATTATAACTAGAGATGAGCGAATTATTCAAAAATTTGATTCGGCTGATTCGCCGAATTTGAGGAAGAAATTCGATTCGATGCGAATTTATTCGCTGCGAATTTAACTTATAAAAAGGGTTTCTAGGCTTCAGAGAGCCTTTATATTAGTGCAGAACACTGTACCTTTAATTTAAATGCCCTTGGAGATGAGGAAGGAGAAGGAGAAGGATGAGAAAGAAGGAGAAGGAGAAGGATGAGAAGAAGGAGAAGGATGAGAAGAAGGAGAAGGATGAGAAGAAGGAGAAGGATGAGAAGAAGGAGAAGGAGAAGGATGAGAAGAAGGAGA